GTAGTCTCAGTGAGTCTGAATTGCTGAAGGTGGCTGCTACCCAATCCTGAAGTTTAGTTAAGTGGGGGATTGACTCTCAAATTGTTTGGGTTTTCACGTTGTTATTATTATTATTACTGTTTCAAACAAAAACTTCCCAGAAGCATGTGGTATTTCTCTCACCTTCCTTCCTGCCTCTGGTCTGGCTAGGTTAAAAGTTACTGCCCAGCTGGAGCGTTTTCAACCCAAGTCACACAGAATGCCTCATAGCTGTCCACTGTTCAGGTGGGCGTGGGAGGATGGCTTTGGGCTTCTCTTTGTAGAACCTGCTCGCCTAGCTACCTGGGAGTGGTGTGAAATCCTATTTTTATTTATGTCACCAGCAGGGTGTCCTGTTGGACTCTGCTTCCATCCTCTCCAAAGGCAGCCGGCTGTTGTGCCTCTAGCCAGGGGTGGCCTGGAGACTAGAAGTGGCTGTGCCATTTCTGGGGCGGGGGGTGTTTGCAAATTATCATTTTAATTTGTGACCATCAAAATGTGAAGGAGAGGAGACTTGTTTTCCTCCCAGATGTAGGAGCCGGGTGGTGCCCTTAGCTTAGCCCATGGGGAGAACCCATTGGTGTTGCATTTGGGGTGCCCCTCTCCCTCCGTGGTGGCGGCCATCCTCCCTCCCTCTACAGCCAGGGCAACCTAAGCTGGAGGCTGGGGATCAGTTTTTCGTCCCCGGCAGGAGGTTCGTGTTGGAGGACGACTGGACCCGCCTCGGGAGTGCTGCAGTAGTAGTTGGGAGAGAAGTGGAATCATCTCTCCTCACCCTCAGAAGCCTCGCTCGCGTCGTAATTCTTTTTATTTTTACTTTCGAGCCTTGTAAGGCAGGCGGCCGGGGTAAAAGCGCTGCGGCGACACGTTGCCAGCTGCGCAGCACCGCTCATGTGGCCCGAAGCAGGGGAGGGGGCCGGCCACGCGCCACCTGCCCGAGTCCCCTGGGTTCCCGGGTGCTGCCGAGGAGCCCAGGGGCCCAGCCTGGCCGAAGGGCCTCCCTGAGGGCCCGCGCCGCAGCCCGGGGTCGCCCGGCCCACGTTTTCCGTCTCTCCCGCTCCCTCCGCCCCTCCCTCCCCGCGCTCCCCCTCCTCCTGCCTGGTCATGTGTCGCCTTTTTTTGTTTGCAGTGGAAACAATTTCTCGCCGCTCGGCGCGCCCCGGCCCCGACGCGCCGCAGCGGAGGCGAGCGGGAGGCGGGACGGGGCGTGGAGAGCGGCGCGGCCGGCGGGAGGACGCGGCGCCCGCGGACGCTCGCTCGGGGCCCATGCCGCGCCGCCCCCCGCACCCCTGCCGTCCGCATCCGCGGCCGCCCCCCGCCGCCCGCCCAGGGTTCGAGCGTCCGCTGCGGGGCCCCGAGCGATGCCCGCTGGGCGCCCGCGAAACTTTGTCGGCTGCACCGAAGGCAGCGGCGGCCCCGCGCCGCGCTTGGCCAGGTGAGTCCGCGCCCGTGCCCTCCCTTGCCACCCAGCCTGGGGTGCTCGCCGGAGAGCCGTCGTGGTGGCCCACAGCGATCAGGACTGGGCTCACAGTGTGGGGTGCGGGCCAAGCTGGTCCCGGAGTCGGGGGACCCCCAGTCCTGAGCCTGGAAGTTGCCCGACTAGGAGTTTCCTGCCCCGACGAGCTGGCTGCTTCTCGTGCCTCGGTTTCCTTACAGGACCGGGAGAGCGACAGAGTTGGTATTGTCTGAGGAGCAGGCATCCCTAGCAATCCGGGTCGGTCTGAGGGTGCGGATCTACTGGAGACCCCAAGACCGCGAACAGGCGCCTAACAAAGATCCCCTCCCAACCGAGCTCGCTCAGCACCGGCCGCGAGCATCCCGAGACCCGCGGGGCCCTAATCCTCTGCACCCCAATTCTTTGCAAGTCTTTCTGGGGCCCCCGTGAGTTGGGGAGGGCTGTGGGCACTTATTGATTTGTTTTTAGGCTCGCCACGCTGCGGCCAATAAAAGGTTTATGACATCTGACCGGCAGTGAAGGTATGCGAGCTCCCAATTGCCCTGTGTACGCGGAGAAGAGCAGTTTTCTCGTTGCCTGGCAACGCCGATGACTGACGCGGGCCACAGCCAATCGCTGCTCCCGTTGGTCCCCTTGAAATGTTTTTGACAAGTACAGTAAAAGGGAGTGGAGCGCGTGCGTGTGTGCGCGCGCAAGGAGGGGGAGGTTCCCAGTCCCCCAAACTCGAGACTGCCCAGCTTCGGTTGAGGAAGATTTCTCAACTTTTTAAAAAGTTCATCACTAACATCTCTTCAGACCTGGGCCATAATAGCATTGTCAGTTATTTGGAGACGTTCTGGTTCTGCTATTAGACAGAAAACGTAAGCTTCCCTGATCCATTTTTGCGTTGAAAGAAAGGAAGATAAAACACAGGAAGTCATAAAAAAAATAGGGAGGGTGTGAGAGACATAACCAATAACTTGAAATTTTAAGGCGGTCACTGGTGGATAAACTATTCAAAGCAACGTTTATTAGCAGATTTAAAACGTTTGCTTGACTGCAGGCTCACAATGTCCTCCACCTCTAAGGGAAGAAAAAGAAGGGAAAAGAGATTTGGAAAATTTTGAAGTTAGTGCATAATAATGGAAAACTCCTCAGCTGTGGTTTCTGGGAATTGTTTGTTTGGTTGTAACATAAGAGTGCAGTGGTCAGGAGCTGTCCATACTGTTACAAAGAGCGGAGTTTATAGGGAATACAGTTAATGGAGAGTTTGGGGAAACAAATAACCCAGGGGTTGGGGACCCTTCAGACCACCTCTTCTTGGCAGTGGCATTTGTAGGACCACGTTGCTGGCAGTGTTTGTTGAAAACAAAAGAAAACATGGAGAATAGCATGTTAGTTCCTTTGGGAAGCTGCTGACAAATAAGCAAATTAAAAAGAAAGAGAGCAGTATGTTGTCATAGCAACAGTGCAATTAAATTACTTTACTGTCAGCCATGATATAATTTTCCTGTTTGGAAGCTCAGGAGACATAAAACTTTCATTTGGGGCTAAAGTTGACTTCACTGGCTGGGTAGTTCTCCGTTGTGTGGCTATGGTGGCAGGTAGAGCCTTTCCTGGGGGATCTTAGGAAACTGAGACAAGATGGCCCTGATTTCCTCATTCGGAAGTTAAAAGCAGTATCAGGCTGGATTCGGCAGCATCTCCAATCCCGGAGATACAAGTTAGCATTTTTTTCTATAACATAGATTAGCTCTCTTATTTCCACAGAGAGAGATTTCCTTGGGTAAATGATGCTCCTGGACTGCCTGCCTGGGTGGGCTGTGAGGTCCTGTGGAGATTTTTGTCCTCTAGGGGGATGTGCCCCTTGCGCCTCTGTCCCCCTGGTGGGAAAGTGCAGCAGCATGCTGGCACCCTGCCTGGTTGTTTGGAGCTCTGCATCATGCTTTCTAGAATGGAATTCTAGAACTTTCTGCGCTGAAACAGTGCTCATTTTAAATGCTGTGCTAATGGATATTTAGAGGCTTGGAATGACCATTTGTTTGCCTTTAGTGTACTAATTCTTGTAGGTGCATTGCTTTAGCTCCTCATTGAGCTAAAAAAAAAAGATGTTCTTAGACTAAGTATGAATTTCAGCTCTGCACACATTGAGCAAAAGACCCATTGTCCTATTTATCTTGTGTTGTGCACCAGAGGGTTGTGTCTGTGGGGTTATTCTATTTGTCAGACTCTGTTTTACTCTCTGTTCTAGGTCACTGATAAGAGTAGGGTTTGCTGATGGTTGGGGGAGAGCATCTGTTACAGTTTCTGTTGAATTTGCCTTCCTGTTTTGAAGTTTCTAGTTGTCCTCTCAACTTTTTTTTTCTTCACGGACTCTAGTTCTAGTTAATGGCATAGTTTTCATTCCCATTTGTTTTTTTGTAGTGCCTGAGGTTACATGCTTTTTCTCTCTAGGTGTGATGCCCTTAAATTGAATGTACTACCTCAAGTTGTAGTCTCAAGAGTTCCTTGTTGTTCTTCTCCTTTACACTTGTCAAATGTAATTAAAGTTCCTTTTGCGGGGGGGGGGGGGGCAAAAATAAAACCAAACAAGGAAATCACTGGCTTCTTGTTACAGTTTTATCTTCAAGTCCCTTATGTGGATCTTTTTATGGGATTGGAAATAACTCTCCTTGCTTTCCCTCCCATCTCTGTTATTTTTCCTTACATTGAAAAAGACTTCATTTATCACACGTGCACACACACATATACGTGGACGCATATGCATATATGTGCACACATCCATGTCTGTATGTGTATATGGGGGTGTGTGATTGCCGCCGCACACTCGTGGAACTCAGGGGACAAATTGCATGAACGATTCTGCATCATGTAGGTGTGGGAGGTTAAATTCAAGCCATCAGGCTCAGCACCAAATGCTGTTACCTGCTTAGACATCTTGTCAGCACTTTCTTCTTTTTTCCCAGACTGGATCTCATGTAGCCCCAGCTTGGTCTTGAACTCACAGTGTGTCTGCCATAGCCTCCAGAATGCTGGAATGACAGGTGTGCTGGGATTACAGTTGAGTGAGCACCTTCAGACCTGACATTTCTTTTCTTTTCTTTTTTTTTTTTTGAGAAGGATAAGCAATGATTCTGGTAATACAAAGCCACAGTAATTGTCCATTACGCTTATTTTGTTGTGCTGTGGGTATGTGTGCATTATAATAGAGGATCAGAGACAGCAAGTACTAATGAGTTCTCTGGTCACAGGGAGCTACTATAGACCCAGGGAGTAGCCACCCATGATGTCGTTTGCGCATCAAAAGTTCCATGTATGTTTTCAGTTTTGTTTAAGGCCCCTATGATCACCGTGCTGCTGACAAACTGGGCTCTTTTTTCTTTATTGTGTAACTGCGGTGGGTTTGTGTGTCTCCCTTGTAGGAGTCCTGGGATGCCATCACCTTGTAACTGAGACCCAGATGGGGGAGAGGGAGTTAGGCGGGACCTGAGCCCATTTCTGTTCTGAGTTTCTCCAGCTCATCACTTCTCTTTGCTGTCCTCCCTAGGAGCCTTCACGTAAATGGGTCCAGTCATGCCTGCCACTAAGAAGCCCGAGAGCTCAGGAATCAGCGTGTCCAGTGGACTGAGTCACTGTTACCGGGGCAGTGGTTTCTCCAAGGCCCTCCAGGAAGATGATGACCTCGACTTCCCTCTGCCTGACATAAGATTAGAAGAGGGGACCATGGAAGATGAAGAGCTGACCAACCTGAACTGGCTGCATGAGAGCAAGAACTTGTTGAAGAGCTTTGGGGAGTCGGTCCTCAGGAGTGTCAGTCCTGTCCAGGACTTGGACGATGACACTCCGCCATCCCCTGCCCACTCGGACATGCCCTATGATGCCAGACAGAACCCCAACTGCAAGCCCCCTTACTCTTTTAGCTGCCTCATATTTATGGCCATCGAGGACTCTCCAACCAAGCGCCTGCCAGTGAAGGACATCTACAACTGGATCTTGGAACATTTCCCGTATTTTGCGAATGCCCCTACTGGGTGGAAAAACTCAGTGAGACACAATTTGTCACTGAATAAGTGTTTCAAGAAAGTGGACAAAGAGAGGAGTCAGGTATGTTGCTTGTGTGATCTGGAACTGAGTTTATGAATTTAGTTTTGCTGCTTTAACCTCCAAGTTTTCACCATTAAAAAAATGAATGTGTAGTCACCATGCTGACGTGGTTATGCGTGGATAATTGAACAGGTTAGCCGTGAGAAACTTCTCTTTCTTAAATGTATTGGCTAATGCGTTTTTTGTTTTCTTCTTGGGGGGTCACTGTCTTGAGATGTACCCCGGTAGGAGTTCACATAACCTCACTACTGAGCTTTGCCAATCCACTGTTTTCGTGTCTTCCTTCCACGTGGTTGGGTCAGTTTGGCTTTAAAGCTCAAAGGCGTGTGTGTCACGATAGGGTGTATTAGTGGGGGGCGGGGTTTACGTATAAGGAAAACGGCCATCGTGGACTGGAGAAAAAGGACTCTGTCAGTATTGGAAAAGGCAACATCTCAGGCTTCTGGAATAAATGGGAGATGATACATTTTGGGACGATACTGGAATATACTTACTCTGAGACCAACCAGACTGGAGGTGTGGGTGACTTCTGTGAAATCCAGTGGATATTTAAGTTTTTGGCAGCATGGAAATCTGCTAGTAAAAAGTACTGGCTTGGGTTAAGGTTCCCATTAGAGACTCGTTTTAAAACGTTTGAATTTTTTTTTTTTTTTTTAATTTTTAATTTGTGTGTGCGCGCACACAAGTGTGTGTGTGTGCATATGTACACAATTGTAGGTGTTTTCAGAGGCTACAGGTGTCTAAAATACTTAGAGCTTGTTGTATATAGTCGGAGTTACCTAGTGCGGGTCCTGGGAACTGAACTTGGTCTGCTGCGGTGGGCAGACCTCGGACACTCTTAACAGCTGAGCCATTGGTCATAACGCTGATGATGTCAGGAGTGTGCTCATGTATATGTCCACGGGGCTTCCTTCTTTTCGGGATCCTTAGCTTTCTGTATATCTGTGATGATCACGGTGCCGCTCACGTAGTGAAATCTGTTATCCTTGCGAACTAAGTCTCTCCTTTTTTCTCAGGTTAAGTGTTTGGAGAGCATTCCCAGGACTGGTCTGTGCTTTAAGAGAATTTTAAAGATGTAAAAACTGCTCTCCTTCCAAGAGCCAGGCCGTGGCATTAAACACTTTGTATAGGTCACTTCTTGAGAGGGAAAGCCTGAGCAAGCAATTCTAGGCTTAGAATGTGGACAAGAAAGTGCTCACTAGGCCCCGAGAGCCGAGTGCCACCCACCGATGAGACAGTGAACGGGGCCTTTAGCACCATGTCATCCCTTCTGCAAGTTACAGCATGCATGTGTCTCCATGTTTGACATAACACCGCTGCACACGAAAGTAATTTAGCAAGTGCGCAGTCTGAAATGTTAAACAGGACCAGCTCCAAGTGTGCACTGAGACTCGCAAAGATTATGTATTCATCATCTTGCCCTGCTCCCAAGCAGTGGGTGGTGTATGCAGGGCTTACCAAGAGGGTCTGTGAACCCAGCCAGCCCCCAGCCTCACACAGGATTCTGGGAGTCTCATTTTTCCAGGGGTGTTGGCTGTCAATCTGGGCAAACACTGATACCTGTTACAAGGGAGTGTCTTGAAAGATTTGAGATTGATAATCTCGGGAATTGTTGAGTTCTGGCTTCCTAGCTCAGGTGCTGACCTGTATTGACATGTTTCTGATCATGCCAGTCAGTTTTGTGGCTGAAATTTTGTTCCCTGAGTTTTGATGCCGTTCAAACAACAAAGCTGTGAGTTATCCCCCCCCCCCTTTTCTTCTCTTTCCTTGGGTGAGCCGGAGGCCTCTGGTGACTGTCAGGCATCCTGAGTGCTGCCAGGGCCCTAGCCCTGGCCTGTTTACTGGGGGGTTTTCTCCTGGATTTGCTGAGTAAAAGGGAAGGCATTCCTGCTGATACATTGCCCAGTGAGAGTCCCTAGGGCTCTGTAGATACACTTGTTTTCTTCCCAGGGAGTTTTACTTTGGCAGTAGGTTCAACCTCAACACAAATGTCTAAACACACCCAAATGTCGTTGAGAAATAGGTTGCATGAAGGTAGGGATGGAAGCCAGGCACGTTTGATGCATGGAGTTAGCCACGGCACGTTCTTTTTCGTTCGTTCTAAGTTTTTGATATGTTTTTGAAACTGGAGAACACAATTTTAAGCTTGGCATAGCTGTGGGAATGTGGAATCCTGTGTGATCCTTGTCCCTGAGGGCTTGGAACGCAGACCCTGCTGGACAACTGTTGGCTAGGCCACTGGAGCAGGAAGGAACAGGCGAGATTGCATCAGTCACCCAAGGCACTTCAAACTGTTACCATTTCCCAGGCTCCTCCCTGCAGGTTTGGTTCTGAGGGGCTGGGAAAGTTGGTAGTTGAGAGGCTTCAAGGTGCCTGGGTATTACAGGAAAGGTTCCTGAGCCAGCCAGGTGGTCTTTTGTTGGTCGGTCTGTTTGTTTTGAGGCAGGGTTTCAAGTAGCTTAGGCTGGCCTTGAACTTGATACTTAGCTATGGGTGATCTTGAACTGATCTTCTTGCCTGTCCACCTCCCAAGTGCTGGGATTACAGGAATGTTTTTTTTTTTCTGTTTGTATGTTTTTAATCTCCTAAGTGCTGAGATTTCATCAAGAACCTTGTCTCACGATTAAGTCATGAGAAAATACAGCTTTGCTTCTGTTTAGCCTCTCAAAGTGCTTCAAAAGGCAGGTTAAATTTGTTGTTGTTGTTTAGTCATGGACGTTTTTAGCTGGCAGAAGTGGAGAGAATAATAAGAGTTTGTGCTTCTGTCACCCATGATCCATGTCTAGAGTTAGCGCCTAATGAGCATTGTCTGGTTTTATTCATTTTTGTTGCTGTTTCTACTGCTGAAGTACTTTGAAGGAAATTGACATTGTGAGTCATTTTATTTCAACATACTCTCGTGTGTAGGAGACTAATCTGTAGTTTGTCATATAGCCACAGTGCTAGTATGTCTGTCCAGTCCTCATTCCCCCATCCCAGCCTCCCAGCTACCCTCCCAAGTTAGAAAGTTGTAATGTCACCTAAGCCGGGTATTCAAATATCCAAGATGGTTCAGGGTTTGGATTAGGACCCCAGTGCGGCTTATGCATGCCTACTCTGTTTGTGATGTTTTGTTCAGTTTTTTGTTTGTTTTTGAATATATTACACCCTGTCCCTTCATTTCTCACTGGTTCAGTCCCTTTTTGTTCTTTGTTCTGTTTTGTTGAGACAGGGTTTCTCTGTGTAGCCTTGGCTGTCCTGGAATCCAGGGATCCACCTGCCTCTGTCTCCTGAGTGCTGGCATTAAATGCATGTAATGCTACCTGTGCTTCCCTTCTGTTTCAAAGACACCCATCTCTTGGTCGTCAGCGTGTCTTGCATACTGCCTGCCTCCATAGTGTCCTTGAATTTGCTGCATCCCCTAGGAGGGAAGTGAGTTCTGAGATTGTCTGCTGTCTTCTGTGGGAGCCGGGTGTGTAGAGGAGGGTCCGTGTTCCTGGAGCCTGCTTAACTTGCTCGGAGGCTGTTGCTCCCAGGGGTCAGCTGTTCCCTAGTCTGTGACCTGCCATCCTGCCGGAGCTGTCTTTCATCCTACCAGGCTATCAGTGGGTGTTTGCTCAGATCAATCAAGGTCATGTTTTTTTTTTAAGTCTGGGATCATGGTTTTTTTTTTTTTTTTTTTTTTTTTTCTTCTTCTTTTCTTCCTTCTAGATACAAGTCTCAGGACTTGTATTTAGCATGTGCTGACTTCTCTGGGGACTTGAAAACGAGAAGTAAAAACACAGTTAATTTTTATAGACTGGATTAGAATGAAGCAGGTATGTGTGTTTCTATTTCCGTGCTTTTTATTTATTTCCCTTCTTGCTGTTTCAACAGAAAATACTGTTGTCGCCAGAAGGTTTATAAAGGAAGCAGAGTACACAGCGTGCTTATTATATACGAGGCTGGCTGCTTTAAACAGTTTTGGCCCGCAGAGGTGGCTGCATGGCATAGATGAACCCGGACTGGGTAGGGAGCAGGACTCGGATTCTGGTGTTGGTGGTTGGCAGGACCTGGACGTCTTGGTCCCTCGGTTTTCGTGTGTGTAGAAAGTGGCTCAGCGTTGTTTAGCCTTGGGGTCTTGGATGTCTGAGGCACTGTTGACCCACTACCTGAATTCATTGGCAATGTATCAAGTGCTAGTGAATACTGTGTTTGTCTAGGGAGAGGTTCTTGAGATTATGTTTGCTTGAGTCGCCCTCCCCATTCCTTTTCTCTCTTTCATTAGGTTGTGTATCGTGAATTCTAATTGGTTTTAATAATAAAAACCTGGAGTCAGATATGGGGTTCATGTAGAAAGATCAGAGAAGCAGCGCAGCCAGCCACTAGTTCTTACCTCTACTGAATCCTCAGACCAAAAGGGCGATCTTGTCTCTAGGAATCCTCAGGCTGAAATGCTCTGAGCTCCTTTGTCCTCCTCTATCTCCATCTCCCCAGTGCCGGGGTTAAAGGTTTGTGACTCCCAAATACTGGGGTTAAAGGTGTGAGCCACTACCGCCCGGCTCTGTTTCTGGTTTAGATCGAATCAATCTCCTATAGCCCAGGGCGGCCTTGAACTCACATCCACCCACCTGCCTCTGCCTCCCAAGTGCTGGGATTAAATGTGTGCGTCACCACTGCCTGGTGTCTATGGCTTCCACACTCTGATCTTCAGGCAAGCTGTGTTTCTTAAAGCACAAACAAACAAGATAGCGCCACAAGATTGGACATTCATCATCGTCACAGTGGCATGGCCATGTTGTTATGCCCAGAGGGAACAGTCATGCCATAGCATAGGAGACAGGTAGAGTCCTGATTAATGCTGGGGATGCAGCATAAAGAACTATAGAGTGCAAACAGGAGAGATACAGTAAGTGTAGAGATTATTTTTTTGTACTCTCAATGGAGTAAATTCTCATTCCCAGTAGACGCAGAAGTTCATCTTTGCTGCTGGCTCTCAGGCTATGTTCCAGCTCTCTTGCCTTCCAAAACCCCTGCACTGG